TTAAAATAAAATAAAATAAACTAAAATATAATATGAATTGATCTAAAATATAAAATATAATTGAATTGATACAAAATGTAAATAAATTAAATTATATTAACACTTAGAATATATAATAAATAATTAAAAATTTAGGATTATTGTGATATAAATATAATTAATTAAAAGTTATTAATACAATAAATGGTAAAAATTTAGAATAATTAGATCTAAAAATATAATAATAAAAATTTTAAAATTATACGATAATAATTAATATGATTAATTGAATATAATAACATATTAAATTATGTGTATGAGAGACGAAAGAAAAAAAATAACAAATAATATATAATTTAAGGGTATTATAATTATTTATATTTATAATTAATTAAGTTAATAGTTATATTTCAATCCAAAATAACATAAAAAAACGTATGACTATTTTTAAAGTAATGTGAAATAAATTGGGGTAGTAAAAATTCTTAACGTCTGTCGTGATTCTTTGGTACAGTGATGACGCGTGACCATTTTATTGGAGAACGTGTAAATGTAGGTTTTCACGGCTGTGCTGTGAAGAGAGTTTTTCTCATAATATAAAATTAACAGGCCCATACGTAATGAGTTGCGTAATTTGAAAAGAAAAAAAAGTAATAATAATAAGAACAATGGATAAAGAAAAAATACCATAACCAGTGACGGAGTCAAGAAATTAAATCAGAAAGGCATTTATTGATTTTAATATTGAAATTTTTTACAAAAATATTCATAAAATTTTTGCGATTAACTTTGAGAAAGATAAAAAAAAAATGATGCTATTTGTAACTAATGTATTATGAACAATACAAAAAAAATTATGAATATAAGTCTTAAAATAAATTATATAATGATAAAGTAATTTTTATATAAAATTTGATTAAAAATTCAATATAATGGTAATACCACATCATCATTGACATGTAATATCATCAACCAATAATAGAGAAACACATGGAGGATGAACCTCACATGTCAAATATAACTAATTATCTAATAAATTATATATCCTTATAGTAAGATTAATTATACTTGCATGCCAATAATAATAGACATCATCATTACATTAATTTTTTTTTTATAAATTTTTGGTAGATAATAATATGACTTATCGTAATATTTTAATTTTCAATCAAAACAGTTATTATTGTTCTCATAATTTTAAAAATGTCATTAACATTTCACTCTAAATAATATTTTTATAATTTTTTTTAAAAATGTTTTCTTTATGTTTGGTAATAAAAAAAAAAACAAAACAAAACAAAACAAAATAAAAAACAAAACCCAAAACCCAGGGGGCATGTGGCCTCCCTGGATCCTCTCTATCTCCGGCCCTGCATGTAACATGTGTTGTTGTCCAAGTGGTGATGATTTGTTTTGTCAAATTTATGATCTTGATTTCAAGTTTTCTTTTTATTTTTTTATATAAACATCAACTCCAGAGATATTTTAAAAAAATTAAAAATATGAGATGTCAACACCGTCAACATCTTTTGCTTTATATATTAAAATAGATAGACAAACTTAAAATGAACCATAACCTTTTCCATTACATAGTTATAATGAAAATTTTTAATTACACATCTAATGATTATAAAATTGGTATATAAATTTACTATTATTTGGAATTAAGAAAAAGTCACACTCAATAAAGTAGTGTTTTTTTTTTCATAGCAGGAGCAGAACAGAACATGATGAATGACACATAAACAAACCACCATTGACATACATAGGTACTGAACATTAGGAAGCAAACCACGCAGAGGCTGACAAGTGCTTCAGAGAGACATTGATAAATTAGGGAAGCCAACCCACAACAAACAAACCTCAAATAGGAAATTAAGCCTCCGCTTGGGAAGTAAGTTGGCTTTTTGATTTTTTAATTTTTTTGATTATTTTAGCTTGGGCAAAAAAATTTGATTTGGAAAGGACTTTTTGGCTTTTTGATTTTTTTGGCTTTTTTTATGAGAGAAGAATGTAATAATTATTGGTTGGATGTGATATTTTGTTTTTTGTGACTAAATAGCCTATTTTGTCTTTTGTATCTAAAATAGCCAAAAAAGCCCCGTTTAGCTCTTGCCAAACGGAGCCTTAGAATAAAAAAGCACTCATGTCATGATGAGTCTAATACAAAAATGACATATTTTAATAGAAAATGAGTAGTAGCTCTAATTAGAGCTACCACTAATGATGTGACAGTGAGTCTCACCCATTGCTACAGTATGTATTGTGTCTATCTTTTTTTTTTTTCTTTTTGCTTTGCCACCTCATTAGTGGTGGGTTTAGAGCAAGGTTCTAAATATCGGCCGGTACGTGTCGTACCGGCCGGTTCGTAACGGAAAATGGGAGTGCCGAGTCAGATACTCACCGGTATACCGGTGAGAATGAATTTCACGTCCGTAGCGGCCGATTCCCGACACGTATCGGCTTGAATCCAATACGTGAGCGTTACAGTTCCGATATAGTCCGATTCGACTGAAAAATGAGCAAAGCATCTGGAAAAATAATTGAGGAAAGCAAATCACATGGAAAAGCAAATCACCTGGAAAGCAAATCACCTGCAAAAGAAAAAAGAATCGACCAAAGTACCTGTAAAAACAAAAGCAAAAGTAGAAAAGAAAGGAAACAAACTCACAGGCTCAAACATTTCACTTCAAGTTTTTTGTCTTCTTCAAGCAATAATACATACAAATAGACTCACGGACACCGGGACACCATAAATGTGTAAAAACCTCTAAAGTTTTCCCTCAATTGGACCAAACTCAACTCCTCAATCAAACCCAAATCCATCTCCCAAGGGCATCGATCTTGTAAAGTGTTGCAAGGAGAAGCATCGAATCGAACCCAAACCCATCACCGATTTCAAGCTTCTTCGTTGAAGGTTTTTCTCTCATGCCCTGTTTGTATTTGTTTCATGCTCTGTTTTTGTTTTGGTTGAAGACTTCTTCAAATGGTTTTGCTTGGTGCTCGGTTTGTTTATAATTATGTTTTTTTTTTTTTTCTTTCTTCTTTTTTCTTTTTTATTTTTTCTGTTGTTATTTTTTTATTTATATTATGGTATGGGATGGTTTTGCTTGGAAGTTGTGTTTGGTTTGTTTATAATTTTTTTTTTCTTTTTTTCTATTTGTTCTGTAGTTATTTTTTGTTTATATTATGGTATGGGATGGAAATGAGATATATTTTAATATATATTTATGATTCTTCAAATATTTATATATTAGGAGCATTTATATATATTGAAGTAAAGCTCTGCAAATCCCTATCAACCTTTATATTTGTTGTCCCACTTTGTTTTTCTATTTCAATCTCCTATGTGTTGATTAGTTTCTTTGCAGAGTCCAACATTATGTGCATCAAATTTTGAATCATATTTTTCCCATTTAATCATTTTGTTCGAAAAATTATCTAACATTATGATGAGTAGTGTCTCTATATATCAAAATTTTGATTAAAATGTGATAAATTAAGGTTAAAAGTGTCAAAAAAATGTATAAAATTGAGTTTTAGATAGATTGCTAATAATTTTTGAAATTTCACAGTCGCGACGCCCGATACCCGATACGTACCGGTCGATACTACCGATATCGATACTCCGCGATCAATACCGTTACGTTACCCGATACCGCGATTTAGAACTATGCGGCCGCCACCATTACATAAAGGTCGTAGTAGCCGTTATATTGCCGCTACAGCACCATAACGACCATTACACTTCTTTTTATTATTATTATTATAAATTTTGTATATATTGCTATTTTCTATTTTTATTTTCTAGTTATGTAGAACTTAAGTAAAAATCTTATCTATACATATTTTGAATGTCCAATCTTCAAGTTCTACAAGATTTCATTATTTTTATTTCAGATTATTTTTATATCAGATTTTTTTTAAAGAAGTTTCATCTGTTAGATTTTTTTAAAGAGGTTTAATTGTTAAGTAAAGATGTTTAATATTTTAGATTTTTTATTTTTATTTTAAATGCGTTATTATTAGTAACTAAATTAGAATTACAATATTTGTTAGTTGAAAACTGTTATTGTAGATAATTGAAAGTTATAATGGCGCACGGAGGTGGTTCTAGTGGAAAACTTCCAAGTGATGATATTGGTTGGAAATTTGGAATTCCACTAGAAAATAATAGGCATAAAATTAGGTGTAAATTTTGTGGAAAAAAGCTAAATGGTGGTATAACTAGGTTGAAGCAACGTTTAGCCCATATGAAAGGTCAAGTCGCACCTTGTGCTAATGTTCGTGGTGAAGTTCGAACACTAATGATGGATCATTTGAATAATTATAAGGGCAAAAAGATTGACAAAAGGAAGATGAATGAGGAATTGACAGAACAAATTAGAGCTAGTCAGTGTGATGATGATGAAAATGATGAGGAGGACTTAGAAATGGTTATGGCCCGACAAAATAGGGCTAGTGATATTGAAGTTGCACCTCCTCCTGGTTTTGCTCGGCGAAGTCATAGTGTTCGTGAGGCTAGTACAGGTAGGAAATGGATTGATACATCCTCTCCAGAAGTTCAATTATTAGACATAGATGTGGATCTTCATAGGACCAAAGGCAACAAAGAATCCAAACTCTCCTCTAGATTCTTGAAAGAAGCAAAGAAAAAATTAGGAAGAGCAGTTAGCCAGTTTGTATTGTTTACTCCAGTGCCTACTAATGTTGTTAATTCTAAATGGCTAAAACCAATGTTGGATACTGCAAGAGAGGTTGGAAAAGGAACAAAGCTACCTACTTCTTATGAAGTAAGCTTCTAACTTAAAGTTTGAAAAAACTCTATCTATGTTTAAAAATAAATAAATTATTAAGATGCTTGTTAATAGTTTTTGTTTGTTATTTATTATTAAACAGGTAACTGATGTGTATTTACCAATGGAGTATGAATCTTTACAAAATTGGATAAAATCTTATAAATCTAGTTAGGCTGGGAGAGGTGTTACAATTATGTGTGATGGATGGTCTGGGCTCACAAGAAAGCACATTGTTAATTTTCTTGTGTATAGCAATCGTGGAACAATTTTTCAGAAGTCTGTGGATGTAACTGATGTACCTAGTAGGACATCTGATTATTAGTTAGGCCTCATGGACAAGGTAGTGGATGAAATTGGAGAAGAATATGTTGTGCAAATCGTAACTGATAACAAAGCTGCGATAAAGGCTGCTGGTTACAAACTCATGCAAAAAAGGAAGAATCTGTATTAGACAGGATGTGCAGCTCATTGTATTGATCTTATGTTAGAGGATATTGGGAAGAAAAAAAGTATAGCAAAGGTGTTGGATTGTGCAAAAGTAATCACACGCTTTATTTACAACTCCAATTGGGTCGTTGATTTCATGAAAAGATTCACAGGAGATAGAGAGTTGTTACGTCCTGTCATCACACGCTTTGCCACCAATTTCATTACTTTGGAAAGCATTGTTAAACATAAGATTGCTTTACAAGATATGTTTCATTCTCAAGAGTGGAAGCACAACAAATGGTCCAAAAAAGGATGATGTAAAAGAAGCGAAAAAAATTATACAAAGTAAAGATTTTTGGACCAAGGCGGCAGATGTATTAAAAGTTCAAGAACCACTTCTAAAAGTGCTTAGACTTGTAGATGGGGATGAAAAGCCCACAATGGGTTTTATATATGAAGCCATGGATAGAGCAAAGTTGGCCATCAAACAAAATTGTCACTATTATGTAGATTATTGGAAGATTATTGATAATCGATGGGCTTTCCAACTACACACGGACTTGCATGCTGCTGGTAAGTAATTTTTAATTTATTTAAATTATAAATTATGTGTTCCTTGTCTCACTTTTATTATTATTTTATATTTGAACGTAGGTTATTTTTTAAATCCCATATTCCAATATGGAGAGCACCTTTCTAATCATCGAGAAGTGATGAGTGGAGTTAGAAATGTGATTTCGAGACTTCTACCAGATTTAAACGAGCAAATACAGGCGATAAACCAAGTTAGTCATTATTTAATATTAGTTAAATTGATAACTTATTATTTGACTTGTGAATTGTGTTTGTAAAACTACTTATTGCCTTTTGTTCATTGCAGATCTCTTTATTTTGTAATAAAGAAGATTCTTTTGGTGCTGTGTTAGCACAAAGAGCAGTGAAAGCAACAAATCTTGGTAATTATTATATACTCAATGAACTATTAACTATTTTAATTACATATTATTGTTACATTGTCAACACTTCTATATCAAATTATAACATAATCACTAATATTTGATTGATTTGTATAAAGCTGAATGGTGGATCCATTATGGTACATCGGCTCCGGCACTCCAAAAAGTGGCTGTGAGAGTATTGAGCCAAACCACGTCTTATTTTAATTGTGAGCGCAAATGGAGTACATTTAGCCTGATACATACAAAGACAAGGAATCGGTTGAAGTATAAAAAATTAAATAAACTTGTTTATGTGTATTACAATATGAGGCTAAAGATCAGACATGCAACACGAAAAAGCCAAGATGACAGAGAGGAATCTTTTAACCCCATCAATCTTGACTATATATTTGAAGAAGATGATCTATTAACTCCATGGCTTAAAGAGAGAGAACATGCAGTCTTGGATGATGAAGATAACTCAGGTTGGTTGATTGTTGATGATGATGATGATGATGAGGGAGATCATGCAACTAGTAGCCAAGTACCTCAACACCATCAAAGAGCAGGGTCTGCTGGAAGTGGCTCTAGTGAGGGTCGCGGTTTGAGTCCACCTAGTGGTAGTGGAGATGATAGTGATGGCAGTCGTCCTCTAACAGGTGGTGGTAGTGGTGGACAATGGGAGTCTGCAGGTTCTGCACATGGTTGTAGACGTAGTGTTCATCATATTGATCATGATTGGAATAGGGATTCTACACAGCAACGACGACATTCTATTTCTACTCCTGATGTAGAAGCATCAATTGGGCGTTCACGACATATTGATGATATTTATGGTCATCGTGACCTTAGAAATTAATTTGGACACCTCGGAGTTAGACAAGAAGATGGAAGGGGAACTCAACATTGGCGACCAATATGCCAAGTACCATATCCTTATTACCCTCCTCCAAGTCAACCACCACCACACATCTATCAACCACCTTATATGGAAAATTGGAACTACTCTCAACAACCTCATCAATATCCATATATAGAGGGTTTCAATTATGGTACAGGGGGGCTTGCAATGACACAACAACAATCAAGTAGCAGTGGCAGCAACAACACTACTTATGATCAATGCACTTTTAATAACTACTACCAGGAATATCAATATGGAGAAATAGGCCAACCAATTCATAGTGATGATCAAAGTGATGTGAGATATAGAGATTCTTCTGTACCACCACGTAATTCTTTTTATTACTAAGTTTTAGAGTTGTTGATTTGTAGTAGATTGTTTGTATGCGATTATGACTGAAGCGAATGATTTATTTTCATGTCCCTCTTTCTCTTATTAATTTGTTGTGCATGTGAAAGTATTTCATTGTTGAAAATAAGTAAAAAAATATTTTCACATCAATTTTATATTAAAGTTTAACATATATGTCAAATAAAAGCTTGAGACTAAAATAAATATTTATCATTTAGTTAAAAATGAGTCAAAAGTGCCTCTACATATCAAAATTTTGATTAAAATGTGATAAATTAAGGCTAAAAGAGTCAAAAAAATACATAAAATTGAATTTTGATTAAAATGTGATAAATTAAGGCTAAAAGAGTCAAAAAAATACATAAAATTGAGTTTTAGAGGGATTGCTAATGATTTTTAAAATTTCACAACTGCAACGCCCGATACCTGATACGTACCGGTCGATACTCCCGATACCGATACTCCGCGATCGATACCGTTACGTTACCCGATATCGCGATTTAGAACTATGGTTTAGAGCCACTAAATTAGTGGTCTCTAGCACCACTGTATTTTAGTCATAATTTAGCCAGTGTAGATGTGGATACCAAGGGCAAGGATGAGAATGGTGAAGACACCAAAGAAAATGAGGGTGTGGATGATAACAGCTTTACCATTAGTCTTCAAGCCCCCGAATTCCACATGGTGGCTGTTCCCAAGTATCTGGAAGAGGAGCCCTGGTGAACATAGTATGAACAGAATTAGCCCAATCACTATTGGTGCCCAGTCCAACATTCTCTCTCTCTCTTTCTCTCTCTCTCCCTGTTGCTTGCTTGCTTAACAACAATAAGTGGGGTGTTTCTCTTTGGATATATGAGATGAAAAACAAATTAGAGAATAACTTTAAAATGGAACAAATATTGATCAGAAATAAAGGGCTCTGTATGGTTCCTTTCATATATAGCTGCATACACCCATGTGATTTTTTATGCCAAGAGATGCATTAGATTGTTTTGTTGCATTGCAAAGAAAGTGGTTGGGCATCTCCTTATTCATGTCATGGGGCTAGCATATGATCCTTAAGTCTTTTTCTTCTTCCTTTTTTTTTTTTGTTTTTTTGTTTGGTTCACTTTTGCAATCTATACTCAACCACTCCTGTGAGAGCAAAGGTCTGTTTCTTCAAATAGGAAATTAAGAAGAATAAAAAAGCACTCATGTCATGATGAGTCTAATACAAAAATGACATATTTTAATAGAAAATGAGTAGTAGCTGTAATTAGAGCTACTACTAGTATGCATTGTGTCTGTCTTTTTTTTATTTTATTTTTTTTCTTTTTGCTTTGTTACTTGGGTTTAGAGCTACTAAATTAGTGGTCTCTAGCACCACTGTATTTTAGTCATAATTTAGCCAGTGTAGATGTGGATACCAAGGGCAAGGATGAGAATGGTGAAGACACCAAAGAAAATGAGGGTGTGGATGATAACAGCTTTACCATTAGTCTTCAAGCCCCCGAATTCCACATGGTGGCTGTTCCCAAGTATCTGGAAGAGGAGCCCTGGTGAACATAGTATGAACAGAATTAGCCCAATCACTATTGGTGCCCAGTCCAACATTCTCTCTCTCTCTTTCTCTCTCTCTCCCTGTTGCTTGCTTGCTTAACAACAATAAGTGGGGTGTTTCTCTTTGGATATATGAGATGAAAAACAAATTAGAGAATAACTTTAAAATGGAACAAATATTGATCAGTGTAAGATAAATTGATATAGAGAGAAATTGTATGTATTATGATTGATTGTGTATATTACAAGATTGATGTGTATATTGATGTTTACAAGAGAATTAGGTCTCTCTCTTTATAGAGAGCAGAAGGATACAATGGAGTACGAAGCCATAAGGTAATATATTACAATAATATCAAAGTGGAATCTAAAGCTAAAAGTGGTAGTGGGTGTTGGCTTTACAGCTCCTAATGCACTGTGATGTACATTTACAGCTACTAAGGCATTATATGAAAGTATATTATATGTTAACAATCAGAAATAAAGGGCTCTGTATGGTTCCTTTCATGCATAGCTGCATACACCCATGTGATTTTTTATGCCAAGAGATGCATTAGATTGTTTTGTTGCATTGCATCTCCTTATTCATGTCATGGGGCTAGCATATGATCCTTAAGTCTTTTTCTTCTTCCTTTTTTTTGTTTTTTTGTTTGGTTCACTTTTGCAATCTATACTCAACCACTCCTGTGAGAGCAAAGGTCTGTTTCTTGTCTCTGAAGAAATGCATCCACACAGCATGGTGTCAACAAGCAGCTTTTTAAATGTGTTTTGAGTTTTTTTTGTTTAAAAGATAAGTTGCACCATTAGTTCTATAGTTTAGACGAAGTGTGACTTTAATTTATGTAGTTTCAATTTGACAATTTGAATGATTCGATTATTTTATTTTTAATTTTGTTTCAATGTGGTCTATCTGCCATTCGTTATTAATATTTTGAATAAAAAAAATCACGTGCAAAATTAAAAGGATTAAAGTGAAATTCAAAACAAATTATAAAGATCACTGGTATAATGAATAAGTTATACCGGTGGTCCTTATAATTTATTTTGAATTCGGTCCTTCTAGTTTTGCAAATGGTATTTTTTTTTTTTACATTGCAACTAAATTGAAATTTGTAACATTAAGGTGCCATTTGACAACAATTTACAATTTTTAATTTACAAAAAAACATTAAAAATTAAAAATATTTTTTTTTTTTTTGGGAAAAAACCCCCCCAAAAAAAAAAAAAAAAAAAAACAGTGTTTGCCATCGCCACAGAAAGTGATGATGCTGAAAGTGATTGCTTGTGGTCAAAGATAGTGACTGGTCAATTGCTTAAGGTGGTAGTTCATGGTGGTTTTCACCAAAAAGGTGGTGGCCGAAGGTGGTTATCATTGTTGGGAGGTGGTTGATAGTTGAGGGATATGCTGGCTAAAGGTCGTTGGTGAAAGAGGTCATTGACGAGGGTAGCCAGTAATGATAAATGTTAGATTATTTTAATATCTTTTATTTATTTATATATTTTGTTCATAAATCTTCTTTTGTTTTGTTCATGAATCTCATTTTGTTCATGAATGGAGATTTATTGTTTTGGTATCCTTTTGTCTTGTTTATGAATGGAGATTAATTAGAATTCATGAACTTGGTGGTGAGTTAATATTTGGATACACTCTCCCTTTTCTCTAGATTCATGGTCATTATTATTTTTTGATGTGTTTTGTAATGTCCTAGTAGCCTATAAATAGTTCATCTCTTCTACTCTTTTCTACACTAACACACCAACTATTTTCTATACAAGAGAGATTACTAGCCAAGAATGGTGTTTTTTCTTAGTGGAGCTTTGGATTCACCATCTTATGCAGAGTTGGCCTGAACCATACGACAAGTGGTTGGCCTGTTGTATCTTGGAGGGGAAAAATCATAGTTTTGTGACTGCTGCACCGGTATTTGGGTTCTTCCTACTGCAGTGGGCTTGATCTCTTTAAAGAAAACGAGATATCCATACCTTAGCCTGATCTATTTGTATCTCATTTTGTTTACATTATTTATCAATAAAATATATTTTTTCTGGTATTTTCACCAACAATGAACAATGAGTAGTGGTTGAAAAGTGGACGAGAAAGAAGAAAAAGAAGAAAGAAATAACAATCTAAAAAAATTAAACAAAATAGCAAAATCATGTTTTTTTTTTTTTTGTATTTATAAAATTTAAAAAATATTGGAATCTGTTTATAACATTTTGATAATAAAAGCAGAAAACAAACAAGTTTTTATTTATCATGTTTTAAAATTTTATAAATATAAATAAAATTTTTAAAATATAAACATTATCAAATAAATTTTAAATTATTTAAATTAAAATTACTGAGACTAAAACGAAATAACAATCTTTTCGTTTAATTTTTAATTCACATTATAGAGTATTGAGAGTGGAATACGTATATTTTTGTGTATGTTTAAATTTTGTCAAGTCAAACAATTCTGATAATTATATGTCAGTAGGGTGCAGATTATTTTTTTTATATATAAAAAGGTAAAAAAAAATTTAATTTTAATTATTAATATTTTTTTATCCAAAAAAAAAGGATACTTTGAGGTGTTATCACTACAGGAAATCAGGGGTTTAGCGGCGTTCAATTAGCGGCGTTTAATTAAACATCACTTTTTTTAATCTTTAACAGCGTTTTATAACCGTCGCAAAATTTTTTAACCAAAACGGCATCGTTTTCTATTTAAAGGCGTTATCACAACAGGAAATCAGGGGTTTAGCGGCGTTCAATTAGCGGCGTTTAATTAAACGTCACTTTTTTTAATCTTTAACAGCGTTTTATAACCGTCGCAAAATTTTTTAACCAAAACGGCACCGTTTTCTATTTAAAGGCGTCTAAAAGCGCCTCTAAATGCGGTAGATACACGCGCCCCTTTTCTAAAACCCTTATTTTCTAATCTGAGCCCTCTCTTATACGCACACCTCTCTTATCTTATACGCAGACATCTCTCTCTCTCTCTCTCTCTCTCTCTCTCTCTCTCTCTCAGCGACGAAGAAGACGGAGGAGATAACTCTACGAAAAAGCTTCGTCTCTCGAAAGATCAATCGACTGTTCAGAGCGATTTCGAAGCGATTTCGAAGATTCAGATCGATATCAATCGGCTGTTTAGAGCGTTTTCGAAGATTCAGATCGATTTCGAGATTCAGGACAATTTCGATGCTCCGTCGCCACCATCATCTACACCGGCGAGGTAGAGAGCTCCACCGTCTCTCTCTCTCTCTCTAGATCTCTCTCTCTAGATCTCAATCCAAGATTGATCCAGATGAGGTTAGGGCCCGTGCTAAACAGGTTGTGCAAGATCAGCGCTGTCTGAAGGTTGGTCTTCCTCTCTTGGACACTTGAAATGAAATAGATCAGGATAACTATGGATGACAAACTTTTAGTCTACAGGATGCATGTATAAATAAATATGTGTGGATGGATGGATGGATGTATATTAATATTATATATGTATAAATATTATATATAAATATAGAGTGAGGAAATTGGATGTATGTATATAAATATTATATATGTATAAATATTATATATAACCATTTATCAATTTGGTTCCCCTTTTAGATGTGCAAATAAAAACTGGGGAAATTGAAAATACTGAGAAAATACTGAGAATTAGGCATGCGTTTGGCTGCCGAGAAAATACTGAGGAAATTGGAAAACAAGAAAGCTTCCATGATTTATTTTTTTTTTTATTTTTTTATTTATTTATTTATTTTATAAATGGAGATTACTTATCCAAATAACCTTCTTTGCTAAACTTTAGTTGAGTTTTTGTTTCTAGAGGGCAAATCAAGGGACATTTACGATGCAAATCGGTCATATGGTTTTTCCCCCATTGTATATTTTTAAGCAACCTAGCAGATTGTAAGAAAAGGTTCCATACCTTTTGAGTTTCTATACTAGTGCATGATCTTTGTGCTTATTTCGTGGAATTGAAACGATTTATAAACTGTATCATCAGTTAGTTGGTTGTGTTGATTATTTTAGAGTTATCTATCTGTAGGATTGGAAGACTGAAAGATACAAAGAAATTATCAAATCTGGGACTGTAAGTACAAATTTTTGTATTCTTCGTTTATGATTACTTGTTAGTTCATCTATGTGGGTGATTATTCTGGATGAGTGATTGTGAAGAAAATGGATTTGAGTTAATGGGCAGGTGGAGCCTAGACCTGGAGTATTGAGATTGATGGATGAGGCCAAGGATGCTGTAAGATGAACATTTTACCTTATAAATGCAGTTATCACTTTGTCACGGTTCTTAAGTTTTTTGTTGAATTTGCATCTGCTATCCACATTTAATTAGGTTATAAGACCACTTATTCTTTCCAAAGTTGTCAAATTCCATGTCCTTTTTCGTACATGAAGAACCCTTCTTGTCTATGTTTCCCTCTGTTATCATATTTGCCTTTCGGCTGATGGTTATAGGGTAAAAAATTAGCAGTCTGCTCTGCTGCAACTAAAAGTTCTATTGTGCTCTGCCTTGAGAACCTTATTGGAATTGTAAGTCCTTCTCATAAACTTTTTATTTTTTTTTAATTAATTAAGATATTGTAACCTATTTAATGTTGTCTTCATGTTTTAGGAGCACTTCAAAAATCTTGATTGCTTCCTTGGAAGTTGAATCAATTGAGTTGATCAATCTATATTTTTCAGAATGCTCTGTTCAATTTGTAGGGTTTTGCAAGTAGTTGATCCCGTTTCATCCATCCGTGTCCTTTTGATTTCTAATTATTCTTTACTTGTTATTTGAGATTTTGTCACAAAATTTCAAAAAAGTATAATAAAAGAAGCAGCAATTATAAGTGGCTCCATAAGCTGCACGCAACAGGGCCATAATTATGACCCCAATTGGATCATCTTTCAGGCGACCAGCTGTCAATTACTAAGGAGACAGGGAGACGGCTTGGAATGGGTACAAACATGTACCCTTCATCAGCTTTACTTGGTGATCACAAGGACCAGTCTGTTGCGGCTCTACCAATTGATGAACTCATCGAGAAAGCTAATGGTTTTGCTGGTGTCTTTCCTGGTAATAATACTGGCAAGATCATGAAAATTTGTGAACTCTGTTGTTTACCCTATTTCTGACTTGACACTTTCCTTCAGAACACAAGTACGAGATTGTGAAGATATTACAAGGTAGAGAACACACATGTGGAATGACAGGTGATGGAGTCAATGATGCACCTGCATTAAAGAAAGCAAACATAGGAATTGACGTGGCAGATGCAACAGATGCTGCTTGAAGTGCGTCTGATATTGTTCTGACTGAGCCTGGGTTGAGTGTAATTATTAGTGTTGTTTTAACAAGTCGTGCCATCTTTCAAAGAATGAAGAACTACACAGTAAGATATTTTTGTTTTCTTTTTGGCATTCTTCAAGGAAGCAAAATTTTTAGTCAAAATATGCGTTTCTCGGATACAAATTCTTGAATACGAATGCTGAAGTTCTCTGTTTCTCCAGATATATGCCATGTCTATCACAATTCGTATAGTGGTAAGTTTCCCTCAGTATTCTCTAGGATTTAAACTATATGAAAAGCTTGACAATGTGTTGACTGCACTAGAAACCTCTAATTGGTGACTGGGATTTGTCTAACAACTAGGTTTTCTGTTGCTGTCTGCTTTTTGAAGGTTCAACTTCCCACCTTTCATGGTTCTTGTGATTGCTATACTTAATGATGGTGAGCACTACTGTGCCTTAAGTTCCATTCTCTTCTCTCCATTAGTTAACACAACTGTTTTGAGTCATATCTTTAGCTTACATTTGTTAACATTGTCTGTTTCCTGTTTACAAAAAACCTGGAAATAAGTTTTTGTTTTTGTTTTTAGAAAACTTGTTTGGTATACAAAAATGTTTTGAAAAATGAGAACAAAAGTAGAGAAACATGTTTGATGAGTTGTCCAAGGTGGTGACTTAGAGTCGAGGATTGACAGATTTGGTGACCGGCGAAGCTTGCCAATGGTTGGCTGGATATCTCAGTGGTGGGGCAGAGAAGAAAGAGTGGTAACTTGTTTGGAAAACAAGTGAAAACACCTTCTTTTTTTTTTTGTTTCCAAAAATTTTGAAATCAATTCCATTTCTTTGAAAATTAAAATAATATATCAAACAAGTTTTCATTTCTAGTTTCCCAAAAAAAATGAAAATCAAAGTAGAAAACAGGAAACAAAAACACAACCTTTTGTTTTTCGTTTGCGCCTCTGCTTTGTTATTTTGATCTCTAACTGAAATTACTTGTTTCCAGGTACCATCTTGACAATATCCAAAGACAGGGTGAAGCCATCTCCACTTCCTGACAGTTGGAAGCTCAGTGAAATTTTTGCAACTGGGACTGTCTTGCGTAGTTATCTCGCCCTTATGACTGTTCTATTTTTTCATACAACTTATCATTCTTGATTAAGCTTTCATTTCCATATATATTAAACATAAATTTGCATTTATCTAGAAATTCATTTCACATGCAAATTAGGATAGAATTTGGATCTTTGAGTTCCATTCTAATGACAAGGGCACATGCTATTGTTTCAGGCGTTTCTCTTCACATTGCAATGTCCACACACACACACACATGTATATTCACCTATCTATGTGCCAATCAATACTTGGTAAATCTATGTTTGTGGATAGTGAAGAAAATTAAAAGTTTCAGGTAGCTCACCCAAGGGACATGGTATAAGCGATGTCACCAAATGGCTTCGATTGTTTCAATATATTGAACCTTCCAAAAATCTTCACCATCTGATCTCTCTATAGTTTGGTGGAATCCCCAAGGCACGCGCGATACCACTAGACAACTTAGATTTCTAAGGTGCTCAATACCCATTGGCACTGTTTCTAGTTTCTCACATGCGATACCACTAGACAACTTAGATTACAAATGGGTTCTTGAACAGTTCTAAAGACTGGTTGCATTGTGTTTTTCTAGTTTACGGTAATTCATGCAGTTTGGGTAATGATTCTTTGTTAAATTTAGGTAGATGTCAGCATCAACAAGCAGTGATGATTCTTCTTTTTTATGTTGTAAAACTTAAAAACTTCTATTAGATAACACTTGTATTCATGTTGAATTGCAGGAAACTGAGGAGATGATTGCAAATGTTCTTGGGGTAGAAGTTTTTAGGCAGACAATTGCTGGTAACATTCTTTGGGCAGCTATTGTGCCTTCCCCAATAAAGGTGGCCTGGTAAGAAATTATATCCTGCATCTGTGGCAATCTTATCAAACATCAGGTACCAAAATTTTATCTTCTTTTGTTATCCCCTTTCTAATGGAAATTGTGTTGGAGCAGGCCCATCCTCATACATCCATTGAAGACTTGGATGAACTTTCAACCCTCCTTCAGGTCCCTTTGGTGGCAGGGACTGTGAACCGTGGTAGTGAAGTGATAGCCGCTGGCTTGACAGTTAACGACTGTACAGCGTTCTGTGGATCAAATACTACAGCAACAGAATTGTCAATCATTGAGAGTGTCTTCAAGTTGCGAGATGGTGATGCGGGAATTTCAGGAGATGGCTACAGGTGGCGCAAGTATGGACAAAAAATGGTAAAGGGAAATCCTCATCCCAGGTGTGTGCCTATCTTTCAGTTTAACCTTTTAATTCTGTATCTGATTTTTGTACCTTGATCAGGCTATAAATGCTTGTTTTGTTGGTGCTCCATCTAGATTCATAATGCTGATTTGCATTAGTTATAGTCACTCTGGTTATGCAATCTCTTTCTTGAAAAGTGACTGTTCTTAGGTTATAGGACGTCACACTTGAAGTTAAACAGAGTTAGGTTCAACTTACTTGTGGTGTATGGATGACTATTTTTACACCCCTTAGCAAGTTTTCATGCGAGTTATAGTTTACCAAACTTGCATTTGGATTAGTTATCTTTTTTTTTTCATGCTTATCAAACATGCTGCATGCAATCATACAAAAATCATCCTTCAGTCACCATTTTTTTATTCTGGAAGAAAAATCATCTTTTGACACAGAACACAAATAGAAGTGGGGACAACAAAATAAGTATATATTTTTATGCCAACAGAGGTTGATTAAGTTGGTAAAGATCAGACACTTTGCCTCCACGGCTTAGGTTCAATTCCCGCTGCCAGCAATCCTCCTTAGTGGGCGATCTATAATAAATTTGAAGATAGGTTGTCACATTAGGTCATAATACCTCGTAGCGACTTGAGTGTCTAGGAAAAATCTCCCCAACTGTCAATCAATTTTATGGTGGAACATAGAAATTAGTTGCAAACTCCTCGCAGAGGGCTTCTTTTATGTTATAAAAATTAATTGTCAATTATTTTCTTGTCTCCACATTGAATATTTTCACATGTGGCAACTATACTTACTCGGGAGAAGTAAGTGAAGAGTTTGACAGGGATGATAATACTTTGACACTCATCAAACCATCTCCTATGCCTTCAAAGGATATTCGAAGTCCACTTGAAGTCGAATCAGTACATGGTGGAAATAACGGGGTATGGAACGTTGATTTGGAAGAAGACAAGACAGAATAATTTGAAACCCAACTCTGTTTGATTGTGAGAAGCTATTTAACTCTGAATGATCATCCTGATGGATATGAAGTTGCTACATGTAGAATTTATGTGAGAAGAGAGGGAAAAAGCCATTGGATGGAATATGATGAAGCTTTTTGTAACGCCCTCAAAATAAAGACATAAAACCCATCAATATAGACATGCATTGATTCACAAAAGTTCCACATTCTTTTATTCATTCCATAATCAAAAGTATTACATGTTAACAATAAAAGCAAATGCCCTAGAGGCTTACAGCTTTCCAAGTTAACACTTGGTTACAACAAAAGAGTGCTAACTCATTTACACATTAAGCCCTTGGCTTGAATTTACATGTAATACATCAAAAGAAATAAGACAACAAAAGTGTGTCCGCCTCTAGCCTCCTAAGCTACGTCCTTGGAGGTGGCATGCTACCTGTACCTGAAAATGATATTCCCATATAGGGTGAGCCACAGCCCAGTAGAAATATACTAAACCAAATATGAACAATGACTAAAAGATTAGCAGTTGATAGATGGCCAACACAGATACTTTCCCTTATCACACTTTACGGTTTCATGACATACAAGTCCATATTACAGTCCATTTTCCATTTCTTTTCAATTCTCAATTTATAACCATGGCTCAGAACCTGGCCAAACAACTCATATGAGACAGTAACTCATATCAAACACTTCCCATTTCATAATAGATAAGCATACTAGCTATATCACACACCAACAGATAAGCATACAAGCTATATCATCACTTCCACAGATATGCATATGAGCACTATCACACTTCCAATGACAAGCATATGAGCTCTGTCAACACATCACTAGATAAGCATATGAGCTCTATCTACGGAGTCCATCCCCTATCTCCTCCCAACAACATCCGGTTTAGAGGTCCATCCCCTATCTTCCCCTAAACCGTGGAGTACATCCCCTATCTCCTCCAACACAACACAATGCATATAAACAACAATTATACACATCATTACACAACACATAAATTTAATGTATTCTTTCCATCGTCAATTTCATTGACACAGTCCAGTGATTAGTTTCAGTTTGCCTAATCATCATGCATTGTCTACAACAATCACGACTATCCTCCACCGATAGCCCAAAGCAGTTATTTCTATGCAGAAAATAAATGCAACAATGGATATATAATCAACATTCCAACTAGGTGAGTGATAAATAATCCAACTACACCCTTTTATCCCATGACTTCCCAAATCAATTCCTCATTTCTCATAATCAATTATGCAAATTAATTAACCAATGTAATTAGGGCATTTTCCATAATTTACATTATAACCCTTAGGTTCCATTTTCATTAATGTCTTAACATTAATTTTACATTTTTCCATGCCAAACATGCATCTAGGTTTTATATAGTTAAAACCCCAACTCTTGTGAATTTACACAAAAGCCCCCAAACTTTCACAAAATTACCAAACCAGCCCCAACATCTCAAAATACTAAAATTTAAAGACAAAGCTCATAAAGAGGAGTAGGACATCCCTACCTCGAAGTTAGAGCTCGGATGGAGAAGAGACCAAAACTAAAGTGCTCCAAAGACCGAGATTTTCAGATCAAAACGACGCCCTCGACGATCAACACAACTTTTACAAAAGCCGAAGAGAAGGAGGACACTCTAACTAGATCAAACCCTAGAGAGAAGGGAGTATCTAGAGAGAGAGGCTCTCAAAAGGGTTTTTAGAAAAAGTAGGAGAGAGAAAGAAAAGCAAAAAGTGATTTGAAATCACCCAGCGGATAACTCATATACGCACGACCCGCTCGAGTGGAGAACACAACGCTCGACGCTCGAGCGCGAAGAACAAAAATCTGGACACGCTCGAGCCCAATAAGGCCCGCTCGAGCGCCAAGACACAGGAATAAAGCACTTCCGCTCGAGCGCGAAAACCAGTCCACTCGAGCGCAAATCTCCCTCTCCCAGAACCCTCACCAAGACAGTACTACCCGCTCGAGCGCCAACAATCCCGCTCGAGCGCCACCCGCTTGAGCGCAGAAAAACCCGCTCGAGCATAGAAAACACCTCTGCAGAAGTTTTGCAGGGACACGAAATACTGGGAGTGTGCAATCTCCGCTCGAGCGCCAGAACACCCGCTCGAGCGCTAGACTAGAAACCAAACTCCGCTCGAGCGCAGAATGACCCGCTCGAGCGTAACACCAAAAATCAGGGCAACAAGGATATAGACCAAGGCTTAACCCACCTGTTCAACACAAGCCCTTAAACATCCCAAAACTCAAACAACGGATTTAAAGGATAGCAACAAGATAGATACAACTACCCATTCCACGGAGTCTAGTCCGGAATACAACAGAACAGTAAAGGGATAACCGGGATCGCTATACTTTTTTTATTTGTTCTCATTCTTTTACCTTTTCCCCCCCTCTAATTCTTTTTATCTTGTTTAATTGGATTATAGCGTACTATATGGTTCCAAATGTATCATCTGTTGCATATAGTTTAGGCTCATCTTTGGATATAGTTGGAAGACAAGTGGTATTTTTAATATTATAAGCCATATTAGTGTGCTTTCTATTCCTTTTTAATTTTTTTTTGTTTCTTGACCATTTTGATTTTAATTGATGTATTTAAAGTCTTAATTGTTGCTATTCTTAGGTATGTAATGCATTGTTTCTTATTTTTAATTTTGTTTTCAAGCTTAGTTTATTTATTATTTTAATAAACATCAATTATTAGTTCTTAAT